GATCTGTGACATGTGCGGTTATGTTTGTTTTAAGTAATCCTTGAAATAAAATCACCACTTTGGGGATACGCTGGTTGTCTTGGGAAGTGGCTAGCGGAAAGGGGGAGGGAGGGATAATAGTGGGTGTAGAAACGGTGTGTGGGGGCATGGGCGTAAGAGGTTTAGATAGAGGCCAAGGTTTTTCCTGAATGCGTTTGGTTAAAAAAGTGTTGACCCTCCATTGCTCGCCACCCAGCTGACCCTCACATGACAAACGTTCAGAGCAACACGCTGAAACTATTAATCCTCCCATCACTGTCCCAGAGAAGAAGAAAAGAGATCAGTGATTGGTATGGGTGCTTGAAAGTGACCTTGCCAATGTTGTGTCAAGAAGACCTAGGGCTGTTTTTGGCCCAATTTCCTCCCCAGAGATTCTCAAATGAGAAAATGAAAAAAAGAGAGAGAGACAGAAAATGAAATGCCTCTTTTGGGCCTCTTTGAAGGCTGTCTGTGGACAAAAAAAAGTGAGCACAAGGAAAGTCACAAACTGCTGTGGCTAATGTCATGGGGACCCTGTAAATAATCAGGCAAACAAACGCTTTCAAAGCATTTTTTTCTTTTCTCTTTTTGTAATCGGTTGTCTACACAGACAATGTTTGCCTTCGCTTTGTCTACCATTACAATCCTGTAATTGAGCGAGTGAAAATAGTACGTTTAAAAAAGAAAACATCGGGGCAAACTTTACAAAGGGGGTTATTTATTTATTTGAGGTTTGTATCATCTTGTGTGTGTCTTGCGGACAACTACTGCCACACAAAAGCAGTGTGTGATCGCCACAAAGGGATCTCTCTCCCTGGCTCATAGTTTGCAGAGATTGTATCTTCCCCCCCACCCCCCCCCCCCCCACGTTTCCATATTTTTAGACAGCTCGAGTCGACTGCCAATTTGCGTGGCAAGGAGGCGCGGTGGCAACATCCGCACCTCAACGCAAATTTTTTTTTGACCTAGGTTCGATTCCCGACTCTGGCGCATACTCCGCGTGGAGTTTGCACGTTCTCTCCTCCTTGTTCTGCATGGGTTTGTTCCAGGTTCTTCGGTTTCCTCCAATAGCTAAATTAAAAAAACCCCTCATAGAATTCATACTCTTAGTTCTTTCGGTAAAGTCACGTAGGTAAAAAATGAAATAAAAATTTATAAAAAAATTAATAAAAATAAAATTGTATTTCATTTTTATTAATTTTTTTATTAATTTTAATTTAAAAAATTAATATTCTTTTTTGTATTAATTTTAATTTCATTTTTTACCTACGTGACTTTACCGAAAGAACTAAGAGTATGAATCCTTGCCCTCATAGAACGCAACTGGTATTGACCAAACATTCCAATGGTGAAACATTACCTGTAAATTACTCATGAGGCATACAAGCGCTTGGCAGGACCCTCCTCCATAAAAGTCTTGAGACTCAGTGAGGCTTTATTGGGTAAACAAGTGAAGTGATAAAAAACTATCAGATCTGAGTCGTGACTTCCATTTGATTATAATCAAACAATGAAATAATTATTTAATTATCAGGCCTGGCCTGAATTCTACTCGAGATATGTTTATGCCGAACGGACAAATACACAATTTCTGGGCAAGACTTGCATGAAAATCATGAAAACATTTTGTTTTTTACAAACTCAAGTTGTTCATCAACTCGAGTGATGGCGAGCAATGAGACTAACTCAAGATCACTCGAGTTAAACTCGTGTTGGTTGTGCGTCGAAACGATATTTAAGGTATCCGCTGACAGACGGTATCCTCTGCCGGGAGAGTCACATGTCAAAAAATGTACGCGTCGAGCCTCAGATGATCCCACTGCGTCTGCGGTGAAAATCAGACGATGTCTCGCTCATCGGCTCCAGCGTCGTCTGTTCGGAGGAGCCTTGCACAGCCGGTGATTAAAGCACCGTTACTAACCGTGCGCTCGGGCCTGTGCGCAAAAATGGTCCTCATTCATCTCAGTTGGTGTAATGGACACAATGGGGGGAAAAAAAATGTCTGTATTTCATTAGGAATGACAATGTTTTATGGCTTTCTGAAATTACAAAATTATTGCCATGGTTCCCATCGCAGACAGCCTCCGCCGAGTTGTGTTCAACTCCATCTTCACCGTGCTCCCCACTCCACTCTGCCGCACGTCCCCAGAGCCGCCGACTCTCCCCGTATTCTTACTCCCGACGCCTTTTTCTCCCTCGCACAGAGATGGCCCAGCACCTTCTTGGTTCTTTCCGTAAAGTCACGTAGAAGGGAAGTAATAAAATAATAAAAATAAAACATGAAACATAAAAAATAAAACATAATAAAATATTTTTTTAAATATTATATTATTTGATTATGTTTTATTTTTTATTATTTTATTACTTCCCTTCTACGTGACTTTACCGAAAGAACAAAGAAGATGAATCCCTGCAGTCACGAAAGCTTTAAATCGAAATGGCCCTGCACTTTCAGGTCTTGTTGAACCTCGGGAGGTATCCCTCAGATGCCAAACCATCCTGTCATTCTATTAGTTTTTTTCGGTAAAGTCACGTAGGAAAATAATAATAAGAATAATAAAATAATAATCAATGAAAATAACTAAATGAAATCACGACGTTTCGGAGGCAACACAAGTCTCCGTCTTCAGGTGGGACCGTCACAGCCAAATTTACTGTATTGGCTGTGACGGTCCCACCTGAAGATGGAGACTTGTGTTGCCTCCGAAACGTCGTGATTTAATATTACTTATTTTGTTTAAATGACACATATTACGTACAATGAGATATAATAGTCGAGCAACAGGGGGTACAACCCCAAAACACTTGACAGCACTCCTGTTTTTACACCGAAAAATCGCTTCTGCGCAAGCCCTTGCAACAAACGATGCGAGTTTTACCCACATGAAGTCAAAAAGGCAACAATCTCCAGGCATACCAAATCATTCGGTTAATAATTAAACGAGCACATCCTACGCTCTCTTCCTATCAAACAACCCTCCTTCCTCCAGACTCCTCCATAAACCTTGATGTTTTAAATTACTTTAACGAACCATTGTTCACAGTTAACTCAGCCTCCTGGGCACAGCCTCCTTCACCAGCCAGCTCAACACCTTTGCAAATAGAGCACCAGGGACCTGAATTGGTTTTAGCCCTAAATACCCTACACAATAGCCTCACTGATCAGTGTTGTCTTTTCCCATGACTTAATGGCAACCTTAAACCAACGTTCTCGGTGTACTTAAGATTGCTGAAACGGCAAAGATTTGACCAAATCTCGTCATCTAGTTTTTCGTTGGAATGTGTAGCTCAAGTGGACTAGTTTTTTTTTCATCTGGAAAACTGCACGCATGTAAATGAACCGATGGGGATCATTTAACTGCAACACGTGAATGAAATGCAAAAGTGCACACTCGCACAATTTAGATCTGAAAATAAAACGGTAAGACGAAATTTACGCGAACAAATACTTGCAACATTAAGAATGAAATTTAAATTAAATAAAAATGCGAAATAGATTTTTACCAAAGTAAACGTTCAATAAAGTGCAGGACCAGGTTGTATAAATGAACTTCGTAAACATTTCCCTTAATGTACATTAATTTAGATTAACAAAACGAAGGGATTTTTTTTACGAAAGTTGTTTGATAGAACCTGGCGTAGGAGTGAGATGGCTCGTGGAATTGAATGACTGCGAAGATCAGTGACTGGCTTGGTGGAGGCATACATCCAGGGGTGAATAGACAATGACTCATAACGATGATAAGTCCCATTAGGATGGCCTAATTTGTAAAATTTTAGGTGTAAAGTAAGAAGTATTGTCTGATATTAAACTTGTTTCATCGATTAAAGGAGTACCACATGGAACTGTTAATTACAATTTGCAACATCGGTGCCTTGAATAGGAGCACTCATACGATTATTTGGGCACTAAACAAAAAAATCAATGATTGGCTCAGTCACCGGTCACAAATAAATGGGTAAAACATTTTTTTATATAAAAATGTTACTTTTTAGGAAAATGTAGACGTCATCACCATGGAGAAAATCAGTGTCCTCTGTGTGACCACTCATTTGGTAATCAGCGAAACATAATATGTCAGACCACTGCAACAATAAACCACGTTTTTTTTCTTCAATTCTTTGGTGAGTTTCGGTGGGAGGATTTCTACATCGAGAAAACGATTACTATTCAAACACTCCGTGAGTCTATTAATCTCGCGCCCTAATTATCTTGTGTCCGGATGAATCTGTCACGAGGAACGTGCAAACTCGTTGTTGGGCGATTAAAGCACGTCCGTTCCTGTTCGTGGATGTGGCAGTCGTACGGCGAACAATCCTCTTGCTGTATTCTTAGGTTTTTTCGAAAAAACCTAAGAATATGAATCCTTGCAGTCACGAAAGCTTCAAATCTAGAATCCTCTTGCTGTGTGACCTTATCCAAAATACACCCTTTACAATATTTATGGCAGGGAGGAAAGTAAAAAAAAAATCAGATTATTTTATTTTTAGGGGAATAAAAACGACAATAACTTACATCGCGGCTATTTATTTAGTTTTGTATAAAATACCACGTTATGCCAACGGTTATCCCAGAATGCCGTGTTGTACGAATTAACTTGCTTTTCTTGTCACTGCCGCGGTGTTCGGGCAAGAGTTAATCAAACTCCTATCCAGCTGGAGTTGCGCCAAGTCAAAGCTCAGCTTTTAAATTATGAGACGGTGTAGATTGTTATCATTAAACACATCTGACAGCTTTAGCATCTGCAGAAAGAGGGGGTTTGGATTCTGGCGTATATATTTTTTGTTAAAAATGTTCTAATGCCACGGGACCGTAAATCTGCTCATTTAGCACATAACTCGCGTTTAACAAACTATTTAGAATTCCCACTCAAGGGATATTTGCCACTTACGATGGGAAAACATGAACGTGCACTGGGTTTTGTTATCGCTCGTCTCGGTGCATTGCTACTTTGCAGTAATCCAGTTGTCCTCTTTTGCAGGGTGCTTAAACTGCACAAGAATAACCGACATGGCATCGAGACTGGAATCACTGGAAGCCAAAGTACGTTTTCATTTACTGCTCAATGTGGTGGCCTGAGTGTGGTGTTTAGTGACTTGGCTACAGTGCCTCGTTACAGATACATTTATGAGCTAGTGTGCAGCTAAGGAACTCCCGTGTCACTGTGTGTGTGTGTGTGAATACATTCTGGTTACTATGTGAGAGTTGTCCATTTGTGCGGGTGACCTATGTTAAATTGGCCATGCTACTCACACTCCATTGGAATAAATATAAAAAAAACACCTTTAAAAACAAAAATCACACCCCCACACTAATTTCGACAGAGCCATGCGACGTACAACAAAGTAAGGCTTGATGCAGCGCGCTACGGTAATTAGTAAAAGGAACATAATTTGGCAGGAAATATTCGACTCAGAAAGGTGAGGCCCATTGAAACAGACAGCTATTTTACAAGTGAAGTACCGGTGAAGACACTTGACGCCGAGGTTGAGGCACACGTATATTTATTTAACACAACTCGTTCGTGGCATACAGCACTGGAGGGGGTATCGGCCCCCTCACCCGACTAGCTAAGGATACACTTCCTAGCTAATCCTAGCCTGCCTCTTAGTCCTCCACTAATGGGCTAGGGGAGGCTGTCTGGCCCGACACTGGTAAGTCGGGCCCGGTACCCGGAGTCCCAGACCAGCTCTTACAAGAGCACCGGCTCTGGCTCTCGGGACCACGCCGCTGGCTCAGTCCTGTTCGGCCCTGATAAGGACATCGAACGAGGGGAGTCCAGGGCTCTGTCTAAGACGTCTTCAGTCTTCTCTGGTTAGCTTTTAACATAACTGACTCGAGCCCTTATAACATCCCCTTTTATACCCAATCCCTCCTTGAGGGATGGGGCCCCGGGGGATCATAACGCCGAACCAGCCCCCCCCAGGGTGTCTGGCTCGGACGTCGCAGAGGGCATCTCCCCGTGCACACACGTAGCCCCGCCCACTGTGTTTGTTTCCCATAGACTGCCATGCATAACGGGCCCTCTCTTTAACACCCCTACATCACCCCCCCCCCCCCCCGCATAGCTCGCAGCCGTCCCGGCTGCCAACATACAAAATGACAATAAAAATGAATTTATACCGTAACCGCGCGTGTGCCTCACTAATTTTCAACAATAACAAGAACGGCAACAAGAACACAACAAAATGCAACAGCAAGAAGAGAAAACAACCCGACGCACCCCCCCCCCCTTGAATAAATACGAATTCCGTAAAAAAACAACCTATATACACATCTTCCGGCCTCATAACAGTCCGCGCATTTTTGCGCGCGTCCTTGCAGCGGGCCCCTCACACGGGGTAACCCCGGGTGGCGGACCGTCAGGTGGCAATTGTCCGTCCCGGAGTGAGACCTCCTCCGATGCCGCGTGACCGTTGGTATCCCCAGAAGGGGTGGTCGGGCGTGAGCCCGTCAGTCTTGATGCACCTGGAGGTGGCACGGCCGGCAAGGCATTAGGTGAGAACGGCGGAGACGGACCCAGGGAGTCGGTCGACCCCCCACACGTTTGGCCACGCATGTGTGAAGTGGGTTTGTGTACCGCAACGAAGGGTTTTAACCTAGAGGGGTGCACGAACCATCGCCGCTTCCCCCATTTAATGCGCACGCACTGTGGTCGCAAAATTTCGACCACCTCCACAGGGCCCCGCCACGGCCGCACTAGCTTAGGGGAGGTAGCCAGGGGCACTTGGGGACAGTGCAACCATGCCTTGTCCCCCGGCTTCCACTGTATCACGTGCGCCCGACCCAGCCTGAGGCGCTCATTCGCCTTTTGACGGAGGTCCCAGTTCAACATAGCAGCATCCCGCGCCTCTGTTAATTTGGCCAGATTAAATTTGACGTGGTCAGCCAATTTAGTTTTTCCTTGCGGGTCGGGGATCTGCAGCTGGGCGCGAACAGGCGGGTCGGGTTCGCGACCGTACATGAGGTAAAAGGGGGAAAATCCCGTAGCTGCATGGGGTGCCATCCGGTATGCCGCCAAGACCCCTTGAATATGCAGGTCCCAGTCAGTCTGCGAATCTGAGACCTGCTGTGACATCATTGACGAAATGGTGCGATGCAGGCGCTCGACCATTCCGTCAGTCTGCGGGTGATACGGGGAGGTACGAATTTTCTTCGTGCCCAAGAGGTCACAGACTTGTTTAAGTAATTTACTGGAAAAATTTCTGCCCTGGTCGGTCAGCAGCCGCTCCGGAGCACCTTTGTCCAGGACGTATCCCTGAACAAAGGCCTCCACGATGGCTGCTGCCGACTGGTTGGCAAGGGGCCAGGCCATGGGCCAGCGCGTAAAATACTCGACACCTGTCAACAAATACCTATTGCCCCTGGGGGTGGCGGGAAATGGGCCCAAGATGTCCAGCGCGACAAGCTCATTTATTCTGGATACCTTGATCGATTGCAAGGGCGGGTTAGACTCCCGCGCCGGCGGTTTCCGTTGCGCACACCGCGGGCATGAACCCAATAGATCCCCAACATCCCTTGTCATACTAGGCCAAAAAAAATCAAGTTGTAGCAGTGCAAGAGTCTTTTGGGTCCCCAGGTGTAATAGGCGCTCATGCGCGGCCCACACCACCTTGCCTCGCAACTCAGAGGGGACCACCAGCCGATGTCGCTGGGATTTGCCGTCCCAATGCATCAGCAGACCTTGCACCATTTCCCATGCATCTGAATCACCTTTCCCCCGCCCAGCACCCCCGACGCGACGACGCCACCCGAGGAGGGAGGCATCTTCCATTTGGAGGCGCCCCCACTCAGTGACGGGCAACCCCAACAGGGAATCTCTTCCCTGTTGTTCGATCGAATTATTAGGCAGTGGTTCGTCGTCGTCGGTGGCTGCCAAGATAGGAACCGATGCGTCCCCTGAAGGCCTGCAACGTCCCGACCCCAGGAGGCATGCACATTCGGAGGTGGTTGGCATGCGCGACAGAGCGTCCGCGTTGGTATGGCGAACGCCCTTACGGTAGGTGGTTTCAAAATCAAAGTCCTGGAGAACCTCCAACCATCGAGACAACTGTCCCGATGGTTGTTGAACTCGCAGGGCGTACTGTAGTGCCGCATGATCTGTGCGGACGGTGAAATGCCGACCGTACAGATATGGGCGATACTGTTGGATGAAATAAACAATTGCCAACAGCTCCCTACGGGTGACACAATATCTTTGCTCCGCAGGAGACAACACCCGACTACCGTACGCGACCACCCGTTCCACGCCATCAACCACCTGGGAAAGCACACCCCCAATACCCGTGTTGCTCGCATCGGTGTCGAGCAAAAAGGGCTTAGAAAAATCTGGGTAGATCAAGGGAGGGGCTTTTACCAGGGCGTCCCGAAGGGAGCAGAAAGCAGCCTCCTCCTCTTGACCCCAGTGGAACCGAACCCCTTTAGATGTTAAAGCGTGCAGGGGTTTTGCAATTGTCGCAAAATCAGCAACAAACCGTCGATAATATGACGCGAACCCAATGAAACTCCTGACCTCTCCCACCAAGGTGGGAGTCGGCCAGGAGCTGACACACTGCGTTTTGGCGGGATCGGTAGCAATACCTGAGCGTCCCACGATGTGCCCCAAATAACGCACCGAATCGCGCAACAAATGGCATTTTTGGGGCTTGAATTTCAAATTAGCAGCCCGCATCTTTAGGAAAACCGCCCGCAACCTCTGGAGATGTTCGTCAAAAGTTTTACTAAAGACGATAACGTCATCCAAATAAATGAGGCACGACTCCCATTGCAATCCAGCCAAAACCAATTCCATCAAACGCTGAAAGTTGCCGGCGCTGAGTGTAAGCCCATCGGCAACCGGTTGAATTGGAACAGGCCGTGCGGTGTACGGAAAGCAGTTTTAGGCTTAGAATCATCGTCCAGAGGAAGCTGCCAGAATCCCGAAAGTAAATCCAGTGTGGAAAAGAATCGCGCTCCCGCCAAGGCGTCCAGCGATTCATCCATCCGAGGGAGCGGGTATGCGTCGGCAACCGAAATTTTGTTAAGACGCCGGAAGTCAACGCAAAACCGCAACGAACCGTCCTGCTTTTTAACCAGGACGATCGGCGCTCCCCAAGGGCTGGTGGAAGGAGAAATGATGTCGGCGGCTAACATGTCATCAACAGCCGATTTGACATGGTCCTTTTCGGCGGGACTCAACCGAAACGGATTTTGTCGAATTGGCGCGCTGTCACCCGTGTCAATATGGTGACGCAGCAGGTGAGTACAACCCAAATCGTATTTATTCCGGCTAAAAACGTCGGAAAATTCCCGCAGTAGTGTTTTAAGTTGTTGACGCTCTGAATCTGACAGGTCCGTCGATCCCGCACAAAGCGCCTCGAGCCACCCTTCATCGCTGTCCGAATGCGGTCGCGACGCAGGGACAGTGCTGGCGTGATTTACGACGGGTTCCTCACAAGGCACCGGCGTTGCGTGAGCAAGCACGGTCCCCTGTGGGACCACCACCGTCTGCGAGCCCACATTGAGGACCGCGATGAAGGGTTCACCGTCCCCCCTTACTATGGTCTGGGCCGGAAGTAAATGAGGTCCACTAACCCCGGCCCTAGACGGCCCCAACAGAACCCCATGGGCCCCAATACCCTTAGCGAAGGGCCGGCGAAGTTTCAAAGGTATCAACATTTGCGCCCCCGGAGGGACGCGCACCGTTCTCTCTACGAACGCCGGCACCGTCGCGAACGCCGTCCGAGTCGCAACCGGTGATGGCAGAAACGCCATGCGTCTGCCCGACGGAAGCTCTATACATCCCTGGTCGATCAATATCCTAATCGGCATTTTGGCCAGGAAGTCCGTCCCCAGCAGGCACGGAACCGCCAGCGAGGAGGAAACAAAAATCGGCCCAGACAATTTAATTTCCCCAATACAAATTTGGGCACGAATTTGTCCGATGATGCCAAGTGAGCCCCCGTTAGCCGCATAGAATGGTATGTTAACAGGCATCAAAGGACGACTCCGGACAGGGAGAATATTGTAAATCAATTCCGAAATAATAGTCGCCGATACTCCCG